ATGCCCTTTCTCTGTCCTGTTCCAGCAGAAAAACTGCCTCTGGATTCAGGACATACCTCCTACTCTTCAGAGCACCCTTTGGAGTCCAGACTGGTCCTTCCCCTGCTTGGGGCATTCCCTGGCCCTAGCAGGGATCATCCTGTCCTGTCATTGTGTCTTGCTCTGTCTCTCCCATCAGATTAGTACCCAGTGGCAGAGCCTGGGGCTGACCTCCTGGCACCACCCAGAGTGGCTCTGGCACAAGCAGGTGTGTCCGGGATCCAGCATGATCAATGGGCAGTAAACTGACAAGTGATGAGGTGGTAACAGCTGAGCCCAGAGCTTCAGACCAGCTCTGGGAAACTCACTTCCCGGGGGGCGGGATTGCTGAAGGCTGGGGCTCTGGGCAGGAAGTGCCTGTGTCCCATTGAAGGAAGGAGGTGGAGGCACTCCTGGATAGAGACCCTACTTGCCACATGCCCTCTTTAATCTCAGACAGATAGGTGGCCTTCAGGCTCCATTTTGAAGATGGGGAGACAAGCTGAGATGCCACCAGATTCTAAAGACAAAGGCTGTGTGCAGCCATCCTTGCTGAGACAGAGGGAGTTAAGACGTCAGGTCCTTCTTCCCTGGACTCACCAGCTGGGCCTCCCCACCCCCTACCCTGAGCCAGGGCTGCAGGGCAGGAAGTGAAAGGTGCCTGCAGGAAGCCCCAGGAGGAACCGAGACTTCAGCCAGCCCCGCCCCCACCTGCCAGGGCCCTGGGGACCTTGGGGAAACCAGACCCTCCTTCAGGAAAAACTGGTAAGACACAGGCTAGGGGAGTGAGACTTCCCTCAGTTCCCATCCCAACGAGCAGCTCTTCCAGAATCTATTTTAGAGTTCTCTTACTACCAAAAGAGACCAATTGGTGATGCAAACGAGGAGTCGAACCTGGAGTCAGCACTCCCAAGATAGGCTTCGCAGCCAGTGACCTTCCAGACAGGTGCACGGGCAGAGGCAGGAGCCTGGGTCCAGCCCCGCTCCACCACTGCTTATTGTATCTGCGGCAAGATCCCCTCACCTCTCTGGACCTCTCTTTTCCTATCAGTAAAATAGGCTGTATAACCCCCACTTACAGACATGATCTGGTCCCGACTTTCAGAAAAGCAATTTGACCAACAGGGGCCTTTAAAAAGGTCATGGCCTTCGGTTGCAACAACTCTCCTTCTGGGAAACAGACACTCGGGCAAGGATTTATGTACGAGGAGATGCTACTGCCTCAGTGACAATATCCGTCCATCCCCCTCCTCTGTGAGAGGAAAGTCGGAGACCCCCCGTGGGTGCCTAAAAACACAGAGAGTACTGAACCCTTTACATACTAACACTGTTTCCTATACATAATGCCTAGGACAAAGTTTAATTTATAAATAAAGCACAGCAAGATTAACAACAGTAACTAATCGCAAAATAGAACAATTATAGCCATATACTGGGATAAAAGGGATGAGCATGTGGCCACTCGCTTCAGAGGGTCCCTGGCTGCCATCTCCACGCAGGTTCAACGCTTTCTGGCACAGCCATTTTTCTGTTCATGTCTTCCACCCACAAATTTAATGCCTTTTTCTTCTTAACGAAGTAGTCATCACACGCCGTGGCTGTAACTTTTGTAGTCTGAGGTGCGACAGGAAATCTAGCACGAATTTATTTTCCTCTCTTCACAATTTCATGGATAGAAGATTTGTTCTTCCCGTAGACCTGAGCACCCTCAGCAAACGATTTTTTTTTTCTTTCTTTATTAAGTTGAGAAGTTTTTTACCTTTTCACTTAAAGAAAGTACTCTATGGCTTCTCTCAGGCATATCCAAATTGCCGACATCACTACTTTTGCATTTTGGGACCATTATTAAGTAAAACGAGGGTGACTTGTATACAAGCATGGTATCTGATAACCACGATGGCTTCTGAGTGACTAATGAGCCGGAAGCTTATACAGCATGGCGATACTGGGCAAAGGGATGACTCAAGTTCCAGGCGGGTCAGAGAAAGACAACATGAGAATTCATCACACTACTCAGCATGGCATGCAATTTTAAATTTATGAATTATTTCTGGAATTTTCCACTTAATAGTTTTGGACCTCGGTTGACTATAAAAACTAAAAATGACCAAATGCTCCAGCGGCAAACTTTTTCAACATTTGTAAGGTTTTCACCTTATTTGTGAAGTGTTTAAAGGCAAGGGGGAATTCACCAAACATGACAGTCAAGATATGAATGTATACGTGTAGAATGAGTACCAACCACTATGTAGGAAACCACCACTCAGGGCCTGGTATTGCTGGACTGTGGGTTATTTCTCTGTAGAGTCCACCCTGGATTACTTTTGAAAGTGTCTATAAAACCCATACTTTAACTTTTTAAAGTCAAAAACACTTTTTAAAAGCAAAACAAACACTCGCGACACCCCTTTCAGGTGCTATTATTATCATCCTTATTTTTATTATTATTATTTTTAACACCTACAGCACCTGGTACTCCTAGGTGGTCTCCCATCCAACTACTAACCAGGCTTAGCTTAGCTTCCGAGATCAGACAAGATCGGGCCCATTCAGGGGAGCGTGGCTGTAGACTTCAGGTGCTATTATTAAGATCAAATGAGATAACCTTGAGGAGGCGCCTTAGAAAACACTAACTAGGATGGAAGGCCAGAGACTGGAGGCCCCTGGGAGTTGGGGTTCCTTTTGGGGGCCGGGGGAGACTGACCCCCTGCTTGCCTCTCCCCTGGCCTCTGCTCCTGGTTCTTCCCCAATGAACTTCTCTTCTGTTATTTGCCGGATGACTGATGCCAAGTCTTCTTCTCTGGGCCTCAGTTTCCTAATCTGTAAAATGAGGAGGGGTGCCTTCCAGTCCTCCTCTGATGGCCATGCACCAAGAGGAGAATTTTGCATCCAACCCCCCATTTTTCAGAAAAGGAAACTGATACTGGAGGGCCAGGGTTTCAGTTGGGACACAGTGGTGCCAGAGGTTTGCATGTCTGGGCCCCAGAGGGGTTTCACCCACTTGTTTCATCTCCAGGGCCAGGCCCCCAGCTCTGGTGGAAAAGGTGGGGTGGGGGATGGGGTGGCCAGAAACAGTTCAGACTCCTCCCACGGGGAGAAAGAAGGGAGTGGATGGCTGGGGCCATTCTGGGCCTGCCCCTCACCCTCCTGCCTACTGCCTGCCACCTGACCTCACCCCAGCCACCTGGCTTTCTGGAGGGAGGGGCATCTGAGATGAGTTCGGCGGGGAGTGACCAGCAAGAAATTTAGACGTGCGGGTCCAGGTCCTGAGGGCTGTCAATGCTGCTGCCTGCTGAGCTGGGAAAGAGGTGTGCAGGAAGGGCAGGTGTATGGCAGGCCACTCCGATGGCAAGTCAGGGAGAGGTGAGCAGACAGCATCTGAGCATGAAACAATGCGGCCATGTCCCACAGTGGGACAAGATGGTACCCAGAATCCCATCTTCTGACTTCCAGTCCAGTGATGCTTCCAAGGGCGTTGTCCAGGGTGCATTCTGGGTCAAGAGGTTCTAACTCTGTGTAGGAAGGCTGGCAGGAGAGGCAGTGGCTGACCAAGTGTACGGTGTGGTCCAGAACTGGAAGAGACAGTCTCAGCCCCAGGCCCAGAGCTAGTGGCACCACTGTCAGAGGAACAGTTCCACTGGGATGGTGAGGGACTCCAGAGGCTGGCACAGAATGGCCAAGTGACACCGGCACTCAGGCCCAGTGCTTGAAGAGGGCAGGCCACACAGTGAAGAGAGCTCAAGGGACATCAGGTTCAGCTGTATCGAGGCTACGGGCCTGGCCTGGCCTCTGTATGAAGAAGCATCCTGTAGATCCTGGGCCCTGCCCTGTGAATGGCTGAGTGTGCCTTGGAGGCGGCTGGAACACCACGTGGTCTCTGAGGAAGATGCCTGTCAGTGTGCACTCAGTGTGCGTTTACAGTCCAGCCCCAGAGGCTGTAGACTTCCTCCCAAGTGCAAGCCTTGGGCTCTGGAAGCTGCTACCGGGGGTGAAAATGACATCATACATCCAAGCGGATTGGGCCAAGCTCAGGGCTGACACTGAGGTACAGATACTTGAGAATCAGCACAATCTAAACTATTTCTTAAAAACCATCTTGTATTCAATGTCAAAGCAAACCTACCAATTGTGTTTTTTGGGCATCATTGCTGCCATTTGCCTCGGTTTCAAAGCAGAAAACAGCTCTGAGAGCAAGAATTAAAGACAACCCCCAGCTACAAATTACACTTGCTTGACCCTTTCCATAAGTTCATTTTGTTTAACGGGGGCTTCTCCGCTCTAAAAGAGAAGCCCCCTAGTCAAAGTGCCCCAACCGACCAAAACCACAGGAGCTCAGTCACAACCTTCGAGGGCTCCGAAAGATGGAGTTTTAAGTCAAACCATGATACACCATAGACTCCATGCCTCTCGCCTGTGCTGTCTGTGGTGCTGCGGGATTAGCTGGGGAGCAGCCTGGCTCCCAGAAAAGGGGCAGGTGGGCACGGGGGTGAAGAGGAGAATTCAATCTCCAACTCCCTGGCTGACGACCCACAGAGAGCAGGGGCCCCTCCTGCCCCTTCCGTCACTACTGTTGCTCAGGGCCGGCTGTCTTGGTGGTGACCAGCTCAGTGGAGCCCAGCTCTGTGGCTGGCACAGGGACGCTGTGGGCAGGTGGAGTGGTGGCTGAGTCTTCTGTAGGTGGAGGCCAGATGGGAGCTGTGGCATCGAGGGCTCCAGGAGAGAGGATGACACTGTTCAGGGGTTCTGGTGGGGGGCGGGGGATGCAGGGTCAGGATTGGGTCACAGCCTCTGCCATCCCCCTTCTGGAAGCTCCCCGGGAAGGACAGCCCTCCCAGAGGGGTAAGTCGATGAAGCCCCACTGCCTGGGGTGGGGGGTAGGAAGACACATGATCAGTCTTCAGGACAGGAAGTGCTGAGAGGGCGGCAAAATAGGGGAGTTGACAGAAGAGAGAGGAAGTGCGGCGGCCAGTCCGGCCATCCCGGGAGAGGCCAGGACGGACGCCTGTCTCAGGCCCGGCTCCCCGGCCTTGCGTCTTCCTCAGGGTCGGTCAGAGAGGCCACAGCTGTGCCCCTCATTGGGACTGGGGCGCTGGGCATCACAGTCTACCTGCTCAGCTTCGGAGTTTCAGAGTAGCCCTCGCCCGCTTTCACAGGGCCCTCACCCCCACATTGCCCGTGGACACTCTCAGACTGGGCAGTGCCTCTCGGGGACTCTCGGGTCCCCTCGATGCGGAACTCACCGTCCTGCTCTCTGTCCCGGGCCTCTGGGGAAGCCGGCCCGGGGGGCCGCCGCCGCCGCCGCCGCTGCCTCCAGCTCACCAGGGCCACCAGGACCAGGGCCAGCGCCAGGCCCAGCAGCGCGGGGGCGCCGAAGAGCAGCGCGGGGAGCGGCAGCGCGGCCTCGGC